GTGGCAGTATATAATTGGCATTACTTTCCAAAACATTTTTACTCCTATTTAAGGAAACTCCGGGGTTTCGGCATGGATATTACTAAAAACTATACAATGGACAAAAAAGAGACCTTTTTGCAAATTTCCCAAAAAAGAGACTAATACACACCTATATCTCTAAATTAACCTTCCTAAGTGGTGAGCCCTGCATCCGGATAATTAAGCCGCAGCTTTGACGTACCGTGCACTACGTATCTTTGCATCCTCCAGGCTCTAACAATTAATTCTTCTTTATACGTATTTTTATTAATATTATTTTCAATAATAGACACTTGGATGTAAATATAGGGGACTCAAATAATTAAATTATTACACAAAATTAGTGTGAATATTGTCTCAATTACTGTCCCCGCTCCAGTGATCACCGTTTCATTTACTACCACTCCAGTGACTACCGTCCCATTTACTACCGCTTCAGGTCCAGTTACTACCGCTCCAGTGATCACTGTTCCAGTTACTACCGCTTCAGTGACCACCATCGCAGTTACTATCCCTCCAGTGACCATCGTCCCTGTTACAGTTACTCACTTACCCGACCCACATGTTACAGTTACCTGGTTTGCCATGCTAGTTACAGTTACTCACTTTCCCGACCCACATGTTACAGTTACCTGGTTTGCCAGCTACAGTTACATGACTCGCCAGTTACAGTTACATGACCCGCAAGTTATAATTATCCAATTCACCAGTTACAGCTACAATAATCCGCCAGTGACCAATGTTACAGTTACCAATGTTATAGTTACTAATGATATAGTTACAAAATTCATTCAGTGACAAAAAATTAACACATCCCACCAATGACTCGTCGCTCTATCCGACTTGTTAGTTACAGTTACTTGATCAGACCAATTTCAATTACCAACTTGTTAGTTACAATTACCAGATCTGACCAGTTACCCGATCCATCTTTTAACTAATTCGTTAGTTACAATTACCTGATTCAAATAGTTACAAACTTACAATAGTCTAACCCAAACATTAGATTACCCGGCTCAACCAGACCAGTTACAAGACTCAACGAGTTGCGGTGACCCAGTCTAATAGTTACTGCCGCTACTACTTTCGGCCACACGCCGCCGCCCTCCACATCGCCAACTCAACCGCCCCCTGTCCCTTGCATCTGCCTAGCCCCACCAGTCCATCCCAAACACGCCCTACCCTGCCCCTGCCCCCACTAGTCCAACACAGACATACCTCTGACACAGGCCACACCAGTCCACCCTAGACCCTCTCCTTGCCCCACTAGTCCATCCCAGACCCGCCCTACCCTGCCCCTACACCCACCAGTCCAACACAGACCTACCTCTGCCACAGGCCACACCAGTCCACCCTAGACCCTCTCATTGCCCCATCAGTCCACCCTAGACTCGCCCCTACCCCATCAGTCCACCTAGACCCGCCCCCACCCCATCAGTCCACCTAGACCCGCCCCCCCTGCCCCACAAGTCCACCTAGACCCAACCTGCTCCACCAGGCCACCCTAGCCATTTCCATTCACAGTAGACTCGACTCGCCATGACCTCCATAGCCTCACCCTCCGGTGTTGACCCTCACCGCCGGTGACAAACTAAGTCAGAGGAGGCGACAGATTTCGACCATCGACTTAGGCTAGGGACGAGGATGTATCTGGACAGAGTCAATGCCACCAGCTTGGGGTAGACGATGGCTGGGAAGACGACATATTTGGTTGGATACGGCGGTGACCGCTCGAGAAGGAGACAATGGATACCGTTCGAGATGGCAACGGAGGCGATCATTCGAGAATCGAGATGGAGACAGTGGCGGTGGAACCCTAGGCGACAGCGCTAGTGGAAGGTGAGCTGAGGTGTCGCGTCGGTGGAAGCTGAGGCGACGACAGCGACTCGAAGCTTAGCGGAAGCAACGGTGAGAGGAAGTAGAGTGGCGGCGATGGCGAGCTGAGCGGATGCGGAAGCTTGCTGCCGGCTGCGTGAGGGGTGATGGAGGATCCAGATTTGGATTCTGGAGAAGGAGAAGTGAAGTATGAGGGTAAATTAGGACATTTCGTAAAAATCAATCTCTTTTTTTGTCTAGTTTATAAAGTGCTCCTAATTCTGTCTTTTGAGTTCTTACAAGTATTATTTCCGCCATTTTTTCTTTCTTTATTTTTAAAGTTAATTTACTGATATTATCTGAATGTTTTTCGAAATAGTCACTGTTTCTGAATTTGCCCCTGCATGTAAAGTAATTATTTTACATTTCACCAAACACACTGTATTTTATAACAAAAAATCCCTTTGTACACGTTTTTACTTTTTACATGTTTTTTACATGGGCATGTGAGGGCAACTTTTTGCTTGTGAAAACACTATTCATAGAAATAACATGTTTTGTCCGACTCTATAAATCTAGAGAATATTACTTGAAATAGGACTAAAAAGGTTTGAAGATTCCAAAATAAGACTGCCATATTTTTATTCCCAAAATAGAACCAATTACTATCACGTTTAGGCAGTACCAGACTTCAAATATGGCAGTATTTTCCAAACTTGACAGTAATTACTCCTATTTTGGGAATAAAAAACATGGCAGTCCTATTTTGGAATTTTCAAACTGTTTTAGTTCTATTTCGGGAACTTTAGTTTCCCAATGAAGTTTTTTTTGGATAAAGTGAATTGGTATTACGGGATATTATTTGAGTTTTTTTTTGTATTAATGTCAAATAAAAAATATTTACGAAATTGGGATCCAATTAAAATTATTTACCAATATACTGCTGGAAATAACTATGGTCGAGGCCGAATGAAAGGGCCACTTACAAATCGCCACTCCGTTTGGCGATTCTTGTATACAACCTAACTTACGCACAAGGGAAGCAAGTGAAATAAAAAGTGGGGCCCATGATATAAAAATCACATTTTTTCTTTGTAGGTCTATAACTTTTTATTTTTTGCTTCAATTTTTTTTAAAAGTATTTCAAATTTCATAACTTTTTATTATCTATCATATGACACCAATATAATATGTAATTTTTTTAAAAAATATGAAGGCTTAATAAACAATTTTCTTATTTTCCTATATCCATATGGATTATTTCTTATATAGTACTATATTAAAAAATAATTCCTATTATTTTTTGAATGTAAAGATATGGGATGAAAACGTGACTTGTTAGACTATATTTTGTTTAAATTTTATATTAGTGTAGCTATAAAAGTGTACTCATAATCAATTTAGAGCCCGTTTGGTAACATTAAAATTAGTTAATATACGTAGTAATAATTGGTCTATATATATACTTTATACGTAGTATTGGTTTTAGGGTCATACATTTACATTAGGAAATTTCTCCCTTATTTCATTGCCGGGTCCCGTTTGGGAATATAAATATTCCCCCAATTCAATTAAATTAAACCACCTTAATTCATAATTACCTTTGAATTATTTTGTCCCACACAAGAAATTAGTACGTAATTAAAATTAAACATAGCTCGAAATGGGCTATTTTCTGTGCCAAGCTGGTAGGGTGTTTTCTCATTATGCGGGAATAGAATGCATCTACTTCCAAAATACGGGAGTTTTATTAGGTTTTCTGAAAACACGGGAAACGTGTTTCTCTAATCCGAATATTTTAGGTGTAGTTGGAAACCCAAGGAAAAGTTAAAAAACGGATTCTATGTATCCGAAATGTGGTTTTAATTCTTTTTAAAACATAGTACGTTGAGTAGGTTGACTAAGTTGAGTGGGGTATATCAAGTTGAATGGGCTCTCAAGTTCAGTAGGTTTTTTTAAGAGCCCGTTTGGTAGCACGAAAATCGGCTGTTTTGGCTGATTCTGCTGAAATGTATGAAGTTCTGGCTGAAGTGGCTGCTTTGGCTGTTTCTGCTGATTTAAGTAAAAATAATTTTTTAAATATATTTTATTAATGAAATAAAGAAAAAATTAGTATGTAAAAATAGCCAAAATGGTCATCTACAGGTAACTTCAGCCAATACAGCCAGAAAAGTAACTCCAACCTTACTTTTTCTGCTTATTACACAACTCAGCGTGTGAAAGTAAAAGTTACGTGTTTGGTAAAAAAAGGTTGGCTGATAAGCCTGATAAGCCGAAAAATGATATTACCAAATGGCCTGTTAATAATTTTTTACGTTTTTTTTTATTATTTATATACATTTTTTTCAAATACAAAAACACAAATATGTCATTAAAAATATAAACAAAATTATATTAGAATGTTATTTGAATTGATAATGATAAACAAATTAAAATTTTCAACTAAGTATACTAGATACAAATTCGTAATATAAACGTGATGGAGTTAAATCCAACTAAGAGAGCTAAATATACGTAAAATATTGGAAATATGGCAACGTAAGGCAGTTTGTATTATTATTCCACCCCCTTCATAGGGTGTTTACATCAAGTATTTATATAGAGATTGAAGTGGTAAAATTAGAGAAGGAATCTAATACAATCAATGCTAATTAATGAACTATATTCCACCCCCTTTAATTAATGAACTATATTCTTCTAAATATTCAGACAGACATAACAAAATCAGTTCAAAATGTAATCATAAAAAGAATAAAGATATAATTAGGGGTGTAACCTCAATTTGAAGAACACGGAAATTTATAATTAGCAAAAACACTTATTTAATTTTTTTACTTGAATTGTGATTTAGTAGTGGACTAAATATAATGTTGGAGGTATTGGAAGAGGTGAGGATTGAGATTGTGGAGTGAACTCCCGTATAAAATCTGGACGGTTGGTATAGTTTTATGAAAAATAAGGGTTGAGAAAAGGAAGGAGAAAGCACAATCCTTGTGCCTCTTATTTGGCCAATCACGAGTATCGCAAGGAATTCAAAACCTTTTGACATGTGCTGTAGTCACACGTCTGCACCTCACTCATGCACTCAACAGTTTTTTTTTTCTTTTGAATTCGAATCAATTAAAACCAACTTTCGGATTTCTCAAATCCGAAACATTGCATTCCTCAAATAAAAACCCTACAAAACTCGGATTTGGCATCCCCGTTTCCCGTATTTTCGTACCATAAGTCTGACATTCGTATTTTGGGAATGCATGCAAAAAATTCCCGTAAATCCATCCTTTCCTCCAAGCTGGTAAGTGGCATTTGTTTTTATTGGTGTTGATGATAATATCCTTGCCGGTGAAATGTAGCCCACCGGAGGATCCCATCAAGTGCACCAATGGGACCAAAAATTGCACCATCACCAACTCCTACGGCGCATTCCCGGACCGCCGCATATGCCGAGCGGCCGAGGTCGCGTACCCGACGACGGAGGATGAACTCGTCGCCATTGTCGCCGCCGCTTCGAAAGAGAACCGGAAAATGAAGGTGGCGACTCGCTTCTCCCATAGCATTCCTAAACTCGTCTGCCCCGACGACGGCGGCGATACCGGTTCTCTACTCATTAGCACAAAGTACCTTAACCGGACGTTAAAGATTGACAACCGGAGCATGACGGTGACGGTAGAGAGCGGAGTGACCCTCCGGCAACTTATCGAGGAGGCGGCGAAGGCGGGTTTGGCGGTGACAAGCGCGCCGTACTGGTGGGGGTTGACGGTGGGAGGCATGATGGGTACAGGAGCCCATGGGAGCTCGTTATGGGGCTTGGGAAGCTCCGTTCACGATTACGTTGCCGGAATTCGGATTGTCACTCCGGCATTGCCGGAAAATGGTTATGCTTCTGTGCGGCAACTCGAAGAAGGTGACCCTGATATCAATGCAGCTAGGATCTCCCTAGGGGTACTTGGAGTCATTTCGCAGGTATAATCCCTCATGTTTAATTGCAACCCTTCCACTTTCATGTTTGACACAACTTAAATATTAATACTATGTATATTTAACTCCATATTAGCACAAATGAGAATACTCACATTTCGAAAAATTAAAATGAGTAGAATTTAATATATATATACTCTGTAATATTTTTAAAAATTAAATTTCTTATACATTAGTAAATAATACAGTATGTCATCAAAGTAGAACACATGAACAGGGGCGGCCCTGTATGTTCGAAGGCCTAGGGGCGGAAAATTAAAATGGATCTAATGTCACACAAAATTTTTAGAACTCTTTTCTATCTAAAATGACATGCACGATAATTATAATTGTAATTATAATTACTACCTCCGTCCCGAATTGATTTGCAAATTTGACTTTTCTTGGTCAAACAGTTGCGTTTTGTTCACTTAATTAGGATGCCAATTTTTAATTATATTCTAATTTGGAGTTTACAACTTTGAAGAGATTTTGATGTAGTTTATGAATATGTAAATTTAATTTATTAAAAATTAAATTAATTATGCATAAGAAGGGTTGACTTTTATTATTAGTTGACCAAAAAATGTTGACTTTGCAAAACAAATTGGGACGGAGGGAGTATAATATTTCAAGACATTTTAAAAAAATATAAATCCCTAGTCTGGCTTTTTTTTTTGAAAACAATCCCTAGTCTGGCTAAAACAATCATTTTGTAGTATTGGTGATCGTTATTTAGGAAGGAAACAATGATGATCCTATTTGTACACTTTACTAATATTTAAGTCATATATTTAAGGAATTAACTCTATTATTATTTATTATCACCTCCTAAATCCCTCTCCAATGATGTAATCATTCTGAATTATTTCATTTCCAGTAGCTAAATTATTGCCCTTCTATGTGTTCTCATCTTGAGAAGGACATTCAGAATTTGAATTGTTTACCCAAACAAACTTTTCCATTGAACTTTTTTTTATTTATCGCTGCTTTCTCTAATCTTCTATTCTTTTGTATTTATCGTATTCAGATTCAATCCTTTTTATTACACTTCGAAATTAATTATGTTTATAAATTTTATCATAATTGAAAATGTTTGTCTAACAAAATCAACAAGTTATAACACCAACACTCAATAGAAAACAATCAACAATTAAGAAATCAAACAACCGTGAATGGAATCAGTTAATAAACTAATTAAATAATCATATCAGACTAATTTGCTTTCGAGTGGAATTTCTTTATGAAATTTTAAGACAATGCGTTTCATCAAGTGTAGATTATGTCTGTAAATGTTTAGCTTAAAATGCAATCGTGAAGTTAATTAAATAAGTTATTGAAACAAAATGCGCCAAAGTATGTATAAAAACGCAGTGTTTTCAATAATTTATTTAGCTGACTTTTAAATTAAACTTTACGCTGATTCGTTCTTACATAATTTAAACTTCATAGAGAACACGATCAAAAGTTTCGCTAAAAAAAATCCTTTCCGAAGAACTTCAACAAATTCCACTAAAAAATTGTTAGTTTAGGGCCGGAAAATCAGCCTACTCACACATGTTACAAAGAACTAAATTTGGGCCTATTTTTTACCTTTTTTTGGGCCTAGGGTGCCCCCCTTGCACCCCCCTAGGGCCGCCCCTGCACATGAACACTAGCTACGGTAAAATTTCACATGTTGCAATTAATTATTTAAGAATTAAGGTAGTATTACTATACTTTGCTATAAGAAACAAATTCATTTCCTAAAAATTAAGACGATATTATATTTTGTTCTACAAAATATATATAATAAGTAGAATATATGCATGGTGCTACCATACTTAAATTATACTGCAATGTTATGACATTATCAATTACTTAGTAGAAATTAAATTTACATTATTAACAATATCATGCATGAAATTATTATACTTAGTAGCAATGTGGCATAATATATAGTAGCTCCAAAAAATATGTTGATTTTTAGAAATTAAATAAGCCTTAGATGTTAAATTAGTGAGCATGCTACATGCTCATTAAAATTAGGTGAGAATTCCGGCACTCATTCAAAAAATGGGGTACTGTATCTACCATTTACTTGATTGGTCCAAATAGGTATATTATTTTTAGTTTATACTTAAATAATTCAACCGCAACATTCCGATTGGTCAATGTAGACAAAGGTATGATACTTTATGAGTACCATAGAATTCACCTTAAAATTATTCTAGAATTCTTGTTTTCCTAATCTAGGCAATAGGAACTATAAGATCAAAACATTTACTTCCTATGTAACAATTAGTTTCCAAATATTCATTAACTAACTTTGACTCTTAATTACATATAAACTACATACTCTCCGATCATAGTGTATATATATATATATGTATCAAACGATACTAATGCAAAAAAGTATGATAAAACTAAGAGAACCATACTTTTTTTAATAAATAAGACTAAAATATGGATAAAGTGCACAAATTTGACTATCACTAATTTCTTTCTAAATTACGACCCATAAACTCATAGTTGAGAAAATTTATACTTTTAATAGAATCAAATAAACAATATTTTAAGAATAAACATAACAATTCTTATTTGTGTACTTTTGTCTATATTTACTTCGAACAATAATTTCTGTAAAATTAAAGTAGAGTAGACGACAATCGAAGTATTGGGAATTTTGATGAGCAAAGTATTATTAACGAGTATCTTTTTCATTCTTTCTTACGTAGTACCTTCGTATTCAGGTACGTAGTATTTGACTATTTGGTTTGATATGACGTAGTAGGGAGTTAAAATTAAGGTAGATTCTATGGTACCCCAAATGTACCATACTTTTGTCCAAATGGACCAATAAGAATGATGCAGTTGAATTATTTAAATCTAAATTAAAAAACATATAATGATTTGGACCAATCAAATGCATGGTAGGTACGGTACCCCCATTTTTTAAATGGGTACCGAAATTGTCACCTAAAATTAAACATATCAGTAAAAGTCTAAAAGAGCAACAACATAAAAACATCGGAGTTCAAAAATATAATTAAAAAAGTTTAAAAAGGTGATAGACTTTTGGACTACGTATATGAAAAAGAACATGAAAAAAAACTTTTCAAGAAAATTGATACGGAATATATACATTTGTTTTTTAGTACTATATACTACCAGAAAAACACGTGATTCACAGGATTTTGGCAGAGATTATGCAAAATTTTTGCCAAAAACACTTTGGATCGAACTATTTGATACGAAAAGTCAGTAATCCGTGCAAAATTTCGTGTCAATCCCGTGTATTTTTATAGTGCTCGTTGAAGACTTGAAAACCAACAATTTATAAGGAATACATAGGTTTTACTTACTAATTTACTAAAACAGGTATAAAGTTCATAAATAGTACGGAGTACTACCTCAGTTCCAAACTACTTTGTCATTTCAAAAAATTTAAACCTTGATTTTGATTAGTCTAATATTATGGAAGTTATTTTCGGATTGTCACTCCGGCAATAGTTATGCTTCTGTGCGGCGACTCGGAGAAGGTGACCCACCGGTGAGCGTAGCTCAACTGGTACATAGAGAGTGCCACAAGGGGTAAGTCTTGAGTTCGAATCCCGACAACTGTGATGAGAGGTTAGTAGGTTACTATGCTAAATGCATAGAGCCTCTGCGAGTACTGGGGTCAAAGCTTCACTTTCTATCCGTCAGCTTGTGATTAAAGTTCAATTTACATCCTCCATCTAACTGTCCGGTCGGTGTTGGGGGCCTTCAGGGAAGGGGTCTCCCTAGGTGTACTTGGAGTCATGTCGCAGGTATAATACCCTCACTAAAAAACCAGCTTTACTCACTTAATCATTTGATTGGATTATCCAAAGGAAAAAAGAACTTAAGACTACATACTTCCTCCATTTAATTGCAACGCTTCCGTTTCACGTTTGACACAACTTGAATATTAATATATTTAACTCCGTATTAGCACAAAATTAAAAAAAATCACATTTCGAAAAATTAAAAATGAGAAGAATTTAATACCCTATAATATTTTTAAAAATTAAAATTTCTAATACATTAGTAAATACTACCTCCGTTCCCCTATTATTGTCTCATTGCGGTTTACGGTGTTTGATCGACAATAACCAAAATCAAATTTGATAAAAATTTGATACATAAAATAAGAGATTAAGAGTAATTTGTGTTGACTATGTGAATAAGATTTGAGACAATAATATGAGTTTACCATGCCCAGTGGAGGGGTCTCGAGTTCGAAACCCGCTAGGCACATAAGGGTTCAAAACTCAATGAAGTGAGTTTCAGCCCTGATTACTCCAGGCCCCTCAGCCTCCCCTCAGACCTCTTGGAGTAAAAAAAATGAGACAATAATATGAGGACGACTCGAGGGAGTAATACATTATGTCATCAAAGTATGACACATGAACAATAGTGTAATGTTTCAGTGTTTCACATGTTGCCATTATTTAAGAATGTGGGTATAGGAAACAAATCCATTTCCTTGAATGGGGGTAGTGTTACGATACTTTGCTATAGGAAACAAATCCATTTCACTAAAATACGATATTATATTTTGTTCTACTAATATAATAAGTAGAATATAATTTGTATCAAACAATGCTAATGCAAAAAAACATGATGAAATTAAGAGATTTTTTTTATAAATAAGACTAAAATATACTCAGATAAAGTGCACAAATTTAATTATCACTATGACTCATTTACTCCTGGTTGAGAAAATTTTATGCTTTCATGCTTTCAATAGAATCAAGAAAAATATTTTAAGAATAAACATAACGATTCTTATTTGTGCACTTCAATTCGTCTATATTTTAATTCTATTTGGAACAATAATTTCTTCAAAATTATTAGAAATTATCCGTCATTGATTAAAGTAGAGTAAGCGACAATCGAAGTACGAGGAATTTTGATGAGCAAATGCGGAAAAAGTATACAAAAGCGACGTATTTTATGTAGTATTAATCCATCCCATTTTATGTGTCTCATTTGGTTTTGACACAATTTTTAATAAAATGGTTGAAAAGATAAATATTGTGGTTGAAATTTGAATATAATAAAATGAAATGTTGTGAACCACACATTTTTTTTCCAAAAAGGGATTTTTTTTTTGATTAATTCCAAAAAGGGATATATGACAAGTAAAATGAGACGGGGAAGTATCACGGTATTTTGTTTGATACTCAGTATTATAAAGTTAAACATATCGGCAAAAGACAGATTCATTTTGTGAATACAACAATCACTTTTGTCGGCCCTTCAACAACATGAAAAAGAACAACAACATAAAAACATCGGAGTTCAAAAATATAAAAAGGTGAAAAAGGTGATAGACTTTTGGACTATAAAAAGAGCATGAAGAAAAACTTTTCAAGAAAAATGATACTCCCTCCGTCCCTTATAACTTTGCCAACTTTCCTTTTTTGGTTGTCCCAAAAACTTTGCCACTTTCCCTTTTAATCAATCAATTTGTGGCTCATGTTATTTCTCTCTCCTCTACACAAATCTATACCACACAATTTTTACTTTATTATTCTACGTGCTGGTCAAACTTGGCAATCCTTTTAGGGACGGAGGGAGTACGAAATTGGGGCGGTTCACCCCTTATACCCTTATACAGGAGACTCTCGAACTAACTTAAAAAGTGCAATTCACCCTTTATATAGGAGGTTTTGTCTGGTCGTCGCCAATTGGGACGGTTCCCGATGGAAGTTTTTGATGATTTTTTTTAAGCATTTCCTTCATTAAGTCTAGTTTACTCATACCAAATTTCAGCCAAGACTTCAATCGGGAAGACAGTCAAATGAATTTTTGAAGATAACTGCGCAGTTAAACAACACAGTACATTTCAGAAAATCATTTGACTGTCTTCCCGGTTGAATTTTTATCTGAAATTTGATATGGGTAAACTAGACTTAATGAAGAAGATGCTCAAAAAAAATCATCAAAAACTTCCACCGGGAACCGCCCCAATTGGCTACGGCCGGACAGAGCCTCCTATATAACGGGTGAATTACACTTTTTAAGTTAATTCAAGGACCTATTTGACCCTTTAGCCTTTATTCTTTTATTACTCGTTGAAGACTTGAAGACCAAGAATTTATACGGAATACATAGGCACCAGTAAATAATTTACTAAAAGGAGTATAAAGTTCATAAATAGGAGTATCATTATTTTATAAAGTTCATATCCTAGTTTGAGAAATTTGATCAACTTATTCTTTCAATAGGATTAAATAAGTACTATTTGAAAAATAAAACATACTGAATTAATTTTTTATAAACTTTGTATATGTTTTAATCCTACAATGAACAATTTCTAATTTCTAATGTATATAACATGTTCAATGTGAATGGATGCATGTGCAAAAGGTTACTCTAAAGCTCGAACCCATGTTTAAGCGGTCCATGAGCCTGGTGGAGGAGGAGGACACAAACTTGGGGGATGAAGCGGCCACGTTTGGGACCCGACACGAATTTGGCGACATGTCTTGGCTCCCGGGCGAGGGAAGAGTCGTGTATCGCGTTGACGACCGCGTCCCTATAGACACGCCTGGTGATGGCCGCAATGACTTCATAGGGTTCCGGTCTCTCCCTTGGTTTTTGATTCGGGCATCAAGAACTCTAGGTATTCACTTCATAATTAACTAGTGAGTTCTAATTAAAAGTATCAAGGAGAATTATCATTGAATTCACTTGATGTTTCATTATATTGCACTTTTAAAATATGGGTTTTCTCCCTATCCATTATAATAGAGATTACATATTTAATTATTTTTAAAAGTACGAAAACATCTTTTAGATTGTTGGACTATTGCTAGAATATATATACTTTTGACTTCGGAGATTCTTTATTTTTCATGTGGAATCTAATCACCAACATGTATAAGAACACTAGTTTTTCGATGCACGGTGCACGTGTGAGAAAATGTCGAAAATCAAATTGTGAAGCATATAGAACCATGTAGTCTTCCGTACGATATCTATCCATGCGTTAATGATAAGATTTGAAGTAATAATTGATGATATTACATATACTGATTAGTGCAAAACCATTCCGATCATGCACGAAGTTGAGACTTCATAGAAATATATATGAATGTGTGAAATTAGTAGAAGTCCATTGCAAAGGTAGAATCTTACAACACAGGATAAAGATAAATGAAATGCTATAAATATATTAACATATGACCAACAACAACATCCACGCCTTATTCCTAAAAGCATTTATATATTAACATATGGCCAAATAAAATAAATACAATGTATTTTTTATCTGTATTGAACACACATAATGTAATTATTTATCTAACTCTTAGAAGAAGGGATGAGAAATGTGGTAACCATCGACCTGCATAGAAGTATTCAGACGATCACGAAGGCATCCTAAATTGCACATTGTCAGTGAGAATAAGTATGCACCAACTCTGGAAGTTATACCACAATTACTAAATGCACATATAAGATTCAGTTTTAACAACTCATTTTGAGTTGTAGCTCAACTTTAGCAAAACATTTAGAGTTGTAGCTAGGCAAACCCGAGCATATCATACTCCTCTTTTGCCACTAAGCCAGTCTCTCTTCTAGTAAGCCGAAATGTTTATCCACACTTTGTACAGGGTTTGTTCTTAAGCTCACAAGCTTAACATGTGAACTAAAAGTTAATGGTAAAAATCAAAAGACATGGATATGCTAGAACTTAGAAAATTTTACAAGATGTGTAAAATTGATATCATACATTTAAAAGGGAATACAAATTTATGGCATAACCAAAATTCAATAACAGCCATAACTCACAACAATGTAAAGAAAATAGTTGATTGATTCGATCATAAAATGTAATGTGAGATTTACCATTTACTCCTTCTGCCCCCTATAAATGTCTCATTTTTTCATTTTGGGATGTCTCACTATTATTGTCTCATACCTTATTTGGACAGTAAAAAGTAAATTTAATGAGGAAGTAATAAGGATCTACTTTAATTTGGTTGTTCTTTTGCTTTTAGATTGGTTACTTTATTAGAAAGTCGTTTTTGTCTTGGTTGGCGTGCCACTCCCTTCCGTCCCAGTAATAGGGGGACGGAAGGAGTATAATGCAACAAAATTCAGACAAAAAGAACTTCTCTGTAAGAAGCGAAAAATGAAACTAAGAAACCACAAAATTTTCTCATCTCTTTAGATGTTACTCTCATCATGCACACTTCATTGTAACATGCACAAGTGGTACATTATCATATGATACCTAGCGACCTCTCACCATAAAATTTCCTATTCACCTGCTAAACAAGTCTGCCCTCCCCCACACCCAATTCAATTACAAATAGAAGCTCAGTCAGCCGCGTCGATAGGGTATCCAACTGACCCACCTATCAGTCTAATGCATGAGACATAAAACACCGAATATAAACATGGTAATAAAAAAAATGGAGAAACATGATGCTATGTATCACATTTTTGTGGATGGCTAGTTTATAATAACCCCAAACATCATGGATAAAGAAAGAACTAATAGGCACAAATGACATCAGCCTAACCTCATTCCCAGCAAGACTGCATAGAGTCATAGAGACATATGGTACTACAAAATAAGGTTTATCCCTTAACTTGAAAATAAATTTATGCTCCTTGAATTAATATACTTTGAGGCCTCTATTTTTGTGAGTCTTTTCCTGTATTTACTCATTTTTCATTTTACTGCTCTAAAAAACTTGTTGCTATTTTGTTTTAGCACGCATTGCTATTCTGTTAACGTTCACAATCCTAAGACTACTGATTCAAAGCAAGGACCACCACCAAATTGAATTTACAGAATGCTCTCATAAATTAGAACTGTACTAATCCCTTAGATCGAGTATATAAGAAATGCCACTACAAAAGGAATCTTGAAGAACACTAAAGTGTCTACCTTTTATAGAGTATGTCTTTCATACAATATACCTTTTATAAAATGAACATAGCAGACTCATCTGGAAAACAGAAAATAGATATAGGGAAATAGCATAGACTTATCTGAAATAGATTAGAGATTTAATCATTGATGACAAAAATATGTTTGTTCCACTAAGGGAAAACAACTTTCTCTACCATATTGTTCACTTAATATACTAATTTAAGGGGCGATTTTTTGTGATCTTGACTCAAGTTTTTTACTTCGGGCCTTCGGCCAATGTCAAAACAATGACTTCTTCACTAAGGACAAAGGATCTCTCACTCCAAAATTGTTCATTTATTGCACTTGGTCGTCAAAGAGCTATTTGTTTAGTCATAATGTCGTATATACCAGAAACTTTTTCCTGTCAATGACCATAAAATGATTTCTTCACTCAGGAGAAATGATCTTTCATCGAACCTCAAAGATGGATGGGTGACTAACCCTTCCATTTGGGTTCAAACTTTCACTTAGTAGAATTGCTGTCAAAAGCAACTAAAGTTTTCTCATGAACTTAAACCTCAGCTCACAATATAAAATATTTAAGGGCATATTGTTCTATTATGTTGATAAATGAAAGAATACAACATTTAAACAGAAAATGATTTGAAATGAAGTTATAGGATGAGTGACTAAGATAATGAGTACTGACAATGCTCTAGGGTACTTGGGTGTAAGACACAAGAAAAAAATCTTTATTAAAACATTGCAAACTTCAATATGTGAAGTGTCAACGGGTAAAATGTACATGTTGAAATTATTTCAAAAATGTAATACAAGGTCAACGAGGCATACCCCTGGAGCAAAGAAAAACCATAGCAGGCTGTTTGTAAGAAATGAACAACCTGTTAGAAGACAAAGCGATTTGAAATGGGACATATACCCTTCAAACTACATCAGACACCATACATCAAGTACAACCAGTAGTACAAAAAAGAAAATTCCCAAACATGGACCAACAGACTACAAGCACAAAAAACAAACACCAAAACAGGCGCCGTAACCTAAATACAAAGATCAAACTAAAAATCAATTGCATCGTTGGAATACATGGTAAACAAGATCCGATATACCACAACCTTGATTTTAATGAGAACATCCAGGGGAGCAACTGATATGGTCAAAGTATGCCGCACTTCTCATCCTCCATATTATGTAGACAGTGTTGGGGAAGACGACTAATTGCAGAGGTTAGAAAAGATGAATAGAGAAAGTTGAATGATGAAGGCTGAGAAGAGAGCTTCGTATATTCAATATCTGTCTAAACAAAAGGGATACAAGTATATGTAATGAAGCTGCTAACTGACTAACGAATCTGATTAACAAACTATTTAACAAACTTTTGAATTATCTCATTTACTAACACTCCCTCGTAATTCAAAAGTTACAAACAAACAACATTCATGAGTCTTCTAATCTCCTTGAATCTGTCACTTCTCAAAGCTTTAGTCAGTATGTCAGCTATCTGAACTTCAGTCTTGCAATGCTTCAGTATGATCTTCCCTTTGTTAACTTGATCTCTCAGAAAATGAAACTTTGTTTCAATATGTTTGCTCCGCCCATGAGCAACTGGATTTTTTGCCAAGTTTATGGCAGATTTGTTGTCCACAAACAACTCAACACTTCTGCCAACACCAATCTTCAGTTCTTCTAACAAAGAACCTAACCACAAAGCTTGACAAGCAGCATGACAAGCTGAGATATATTCAGCTTCACAAGTAGACAGAGCTATGACTTCCTGTTTCTTAGAACACCATGATATGGGTGATCCAGAAAGCATAAAGACATAACCCATAGTACTCTTCCTTTCAATCATGTCTCCTGACCAATCTGAGTCTGAATAAGCTATTAGCTTTGGACTTATGTTATTAACCTGGTTAGAAAATAACACTCCAAAACCAATAGTACCACTTAGGTATCTTAAGATTCTTTTAGCTGCTGTCAAATGAGTTTTCTTTGGATTACTCATAAACCTACTCACCAAGCCAACACTGTAGGATATCTCTGGTCTAGTGTGGCAAATGAATCTCAGACATCCAACCATTTGTCTGAACAAAGTGCAATCAACTTTAGGTTCTTCATCATCCAAGTTAAGCTTCAACTGAGCTTTAGCTGGTGTTTCAGCAGGATTGCAATTCAGCATGTCAAATCTTTCAAGAACATCATGAATATACTTCTTCTGGTGCATTAGAATCCCTTCTTCAATCTGTGAGAATTCTATGCCAAGAAAGTAAGACAATCTGCCAATATCTGACATCTCAAACTCAGATTTGAGCTTTGTCTTAATATCTTCAATTCCAGTAGCACAACTACCTGTTATCAACAAATCATCAACGTACAAACAGATTATGAGAATATCTCCACTTTTCATCACTTTCACATAAACACCATGCTCAACAAAACACTTCTTAAACCCAAGGTTTGATAGAAATGTGTCAATCCGTTTGTTCCAAGCTCTTGGTGCTTGCCTTAATCCATATAAGGCCTTCTTCAGTCTGTAGACTTTGTCTTCACTTCCTTTAATGATGTATCCAGGAGGTTGACAAACATACACTTCTTCTTCAAGGGGTCCATTGAGAAAAACTGATTTAACATCAAGTTGTCTCAATTCCCAGTTCCTCACAGTAGCTAAAGCAACAATCAATCTGATTGTTTCAAACCTAGCAACTGGAGCAAATACTTCAGTGAAATCAACTCCTTCTTTCTGCATAAACCCTTTGGCTACCAATCTTGCCTTGTGTTTGCAAATGGTACCATCTGGAATGAGTTTTGTCTTGAATACCCATCTCACTGCAACAGGTAACTTATCAG